AAGCGTCCTTATTTGAAATTTTGAGTACAGAATACAACATCTGAGGTGCGAAAAAACCCCCTATATGAACTTTGAAGTGCAATTCACCTCTCTTCCTTTCAATTTCATTAGTTTAACCTTAAAAATAATAAAAATTGTCAAAATTGAAAATGAATAATTGCAATTGTGATCCAAAAATTTTTATTTTTATTATTACAAATTATACTCAAATTTTTTATATGTGTCACCCATAATTCCAAACCTTTAAAATTTTAAGCTATTTTTTTTTTTTAAAAGAGAATTAAATTTTACATAAAAAGAGAGAGCAGCTATTTTTATTTTACAATGAAACATTTCCCCCAATAAGAGTAACTTCAAAAACATATCAAAAAAAGAAAATTTTACATGTTACTTTTGCTTAGCCAAACATGGCCCATCTCCACCAAAGATGCACCAAACCAACAAGAATTCCCAAGTGGCATAGGAAGTATCTAGAAAAAAATCATAAAAGTGACCTACTTCAATATATCCGTCAAATTTAGACCATTGATCTCAAAAAGGTGTGGTCCTTGTGGATGTTTTAATTAGGCTTGACATGTGAATCGGCTCTGGCATGCACCTCCGATCTCACTGAAAAGTCTCCGGCCCATCGATCCGGCGAGGGACGCACCCTTTTAATCCTCACCACGAAAAAAATTATTTATTAATAAGCGGACATTCTTCTTATCACGAAATAAGGTTTTAAAGTCGACTAGAAAAATATTTCGCTTTAGATCTAACTAAAATTAATGTTTACAAAATTGACTTCAACAATTGCATAATTAATGAATTTTTTGTAGGCATGGACCATGGCGTAATCAAATACTCAAAACCACAAAATAATCAATTTTCATCTCTCTCTTTTTTTTTTTAATAATTTTTTATCAACGAGATTTTAACATATAAAGTTTGGACTATTCAATATTGACCGTAGTCGACAACAATGACCTTAGGGCCTGTTTGATAGGGTTTTAAAAAAGTCAAATTATTTTTAAATATGTTTGAATAACTTTAAAAGTGATTTGTCGATTAGAAGAGTTTTTAGAGTAAGTTGACGTAAAGACCTGTTTGATATGGTTATTGAAAAGCTAAAATGAGCTTTTGATATTCAAAAGTTGCTTTTGAATCTGTTTGATTAATTTTATAAAATTGTTTCTTCCAAAAAAGTTGCTTTTGAACGTATTTAATTAATTTTATAAAGTGTTTTTTTAGTGAGGAGAGCTTTTGGATGAAATTAATTTTACGTGACTTTCTTTAAAAACTCTTTTGAAAGATAACTTTTTTAAAGAAAATCTTCTATAAAAAGCATAAATCTTTTCGGATGAACTCTAAAAAATAACTTTCCCAGGAAATCCTTCAGAAGGAGTACGAGTTTTGTCAAATGGAAAGTCTTGTAGTTGAATTATAGAAGTTCACTTAGTAAAGATATTTGGAGTTTGTTTGGGAGAGATTTTTGGGGAAATAATTGATTTTGAATAGTGATATGATGAGAAATGTGTAGTTGACAAAGAAAAAAATTATTGATGTGATGAAAAATATTATTTTATTGAAAAATGTGTGGTTGAAAATGAGAATTGATTTACTGTAGAAAAATCTAATTCCTCCCAAACAAGGCCTTATAGTCGTCAAATAATAAATTGTCATATGTATGTAATGCAGGACGATTAAAAATAATTTTCGCTTCAAATGGTTCGATAAGAAATATCAAAAAACAGTTAGAGCCTGTTTGGTAAAACTTTTCATTTTCTACAGTAAATCAATTCTCATTTTCAACCACATATTCTTCAATAAAATAATATTTTCCATCACATCAATACTTTTTTCTTCTTTTTCAACCACACATTTCCCATCATATCACTATTCAAAAATCAAGATTTTTCAAAACACCCATAATTTTAAGGATATTTTTATAAGCACCCCTTGACATTTATCTTTAGTACTTTTACAAGATTATTTCTAAAGAAAAAGGCCAATGTGGCCATGTAATTTATAGGTGACCATTGTGGCCCTTTACACCAAGTAAAATCCTTATCCAAATGGCTTCAAAACAAAATAATTCCTTACATACTTGACAATATGTGATATGTCTCGTACTTAATGGAAATCACATAAAGCGTCCTTATTTGAAATTTTGAGTACAAAATACAACATCTGAGGTGCGAAAAAACCCCCTATATGAACTTTGAAGTGCAATTCACCTCTCTTCCTTTCAATTTCATTAGTTTAACCTTAAAAATAATAAAAATTGTCAAAATTGAAAATGAATAATTGCAATTGTGATCCAAAAATTTTTATTTTTATTATTACAAATTATACTCAAATTTTTTATATGTGTCACCCATAATTCCAAACCTTTAAAATTTTAAGCCTTTTTTTTTTAAAAGAGAATTAAATTTTGCATAAAAAGAGAGAGCAGCTATTTTTATTTTACAATGAAACATTTCCCCCAATAAGAGTAACTTCAAAAACTTATCAAAAAAAGAAAATTTTACATATTACTTTTGCTTAGCCAAACATGGCCTATCTCCACCAAAGATGCACCAAACCAACAAGAATTCCCAAGTGGCATAGGAAGTATCTAGAAAAAAATCATAAAAGTGACTTACTTCAATATATCCGTCAAATTTAGACCATTGATCTCAAAAAGGTGTGGTCCTTGTGGATGTTTTAATTAGGCTTGACATGTGAATCAGCTCCGGTATGCACCTCCGATCTCACTGAAAAGTCTCCGGCCCATCGATCCGGCGAGGGACGCACCCTTTTAATCCTCGCCACGAAAAAAATTATTTATTAATAAGCGGACATTCTTCTTATCACGAAATAAGGTTTTAAAGTCGACTAGAAAAATATTTCGCTTTGCATAAGTAAATCTAACTAAATTAATGTATACAAAATTGACTTCAACAATGGCATAATTAATGAATTTTTTGTAGGCATGGACTATGGCGTAATCAAATACTCAAAACCACAAAATAATCAATTTTGATCTCTCTCTTTTTTTTTTTTTAATAATTTTTTATCAACGAGATTTTAACATATAAAGTTTGGACTATTCAATATTGACCGTAGTCGACAACAATGACCTTAGGGCCTGTTTGATAGGGTTTTTAAAGAGTCAAAAGTTATTTTTAAACATGTTTGAATAACTTTGAATGACTTTAAAAGTGATTTATCGATTAGAAGAGTTTTTAGAGTAAGTTGACCTAAAGACCTGTTTGATATGGTTATTGAGAAGCTAAAATGAGCTTTTGATATTCAAAAGTTACTTTTAAATCTGTTTGATTAATTTTATAAAATTGTTTCTTCCAAAAAAGTTACTTTTGAACGTATTTAATTAATTTTATAAAGTGTTTTTCTAGTGAGGAAAGCTTTTGGATGAAATTAATTTAACGTGACTTTCTTTAAAAACTCTTTTGAAAGACAACTTTTTTTTAAGAAAATCTTCTATAAAAAGCATAAATCTTTTCGGACGAACTCTAAAAAATAACTTTCCCAGGAAATCCTTCAGAAGGAGTACGAGTTTTGTCAAATGGAAAGTCTTGTAGTTGAAATATAGAAGTTCGCTTAGTAAAGATACTTGGAGCTTGTTTGAGAGAGATTTTTGGGGAAAGAATTGATTTTGAATAGTGATATGATGGGAAATGTGTGGTTGAAAAAGAAAAAAAAATTATTGATGTGATGGAAAAAATTATTTTATTGAAAAATGTGTGGTTGAAAATGAGAATTGATTGGGGGAAGAATTGATTTTTGAATAGTGATATGATGGGAAATGTGTGGTTGAAAAAGAAGAAAAAAGTATTGATGTAATAGAAAATATTATTTTATTGAAGAATGTGTGGTTGAATATGAGAATTGATTTACTGTAAAAAAATCTAATTCCTCCCAAATAGGGCTTTGTAGTCGTCAAATAATAAATTGTTATATGTATGTCATGCAGGATGATTAAAAATAATTTTCGCTTCAAATGGTTCGATAAGAAATATCAAAAAACAGTTAACCAATAATACAAATCACAAACTACAGAGCGAGAGAGAGAGTAAATAAAAAATCTAATCCCTATATATCTCTATCTCTATATATCCGTTTCGTTACGATCACACAGAAATCAGGGAGTGGCCTACTACCTGGCTGAGCACGCCTATATAAACGAGGATTCGAATAGGCCGCGAATAATCCTAAGCAGGAATGGCAGAGTTCTGGAAAAATCTGCACCAACTGAAAGCAATTTGAAACCCTAAGTTACAGAGTCGCGAATCAGTCATAGTGATCATTAAAGGTGGTGTGGGGAAGGAAAAAGTTAGGAAAAATAGGAGGGTGTTTGTCAAACGGCGGCCAACCGGCGGCGCAGAGTGCCTCGGCGTCGCAGGCTGTGGTCAGGAGGCTTCCTCTGCCGGAAAACAACGACGGTGGTGGCGAGAACGCGAAGATGAAGGCACTATTCAAGCCGAAGCCCAGGACGCCTGCTGACCTGGTTCGCCAGACCCGTGATCTTCTCATCTTGGCTGATCGCGGGACGGATACTAAGGAGAGCAAGCGCGAAGAGAAGGTTCCCGATTTTTTTTTATTTTTTGGGGGTGCATTATTCGTTTTTTTTTTATCTCGTTTTGTTCTACACATCGTGAAAAAGTTTGGATCTGAATCAAGTGGATACTTTCTAGGTGTCTTGCTATGTTGTTTTTTATGTTCTTTTCTCGTATGAAAGCGAAAAATGATTTTTAATTGATTTGATTGTTTGATTTATATGACCGTGGGAGCCCATAGTCTACTGAGATCGGTGTCTATTCATGATACGAATTGACCATGTTAGGTGAGAAGTTTAATTGGCTTTGGTTAGAATTTCACCTTTTAAAGAAAGATATAACTCGGATAAGGAAAGTATATCCGTCCAATGCGCTATAAAGATTAAGTTTGCAGTGTTTGATGCATATTGCTATGCCAAGTGTAAATTTATTACCTGATGAACACCATTAATTTTTAGCTCTGTTGTAGCTCAATTAGTCTTTAATCCTTTGCAGATGATGGAGTTGAGCAAACTTATCCGCGATCTGAAGTCAGTACTTTACGGCGACAGTGAATCTGAGCCCATCCCAGAAGCTTGCACACAGTTGACTCAGGAGTTTTTCAGAGAGAACACTCTACGCCTGCTAATTACATGTCTCCCAAAGTTGAATCTAGAAGTAATGTGATATGATTTTTTTAATCCAGCACAAATATTTATCAGAATACTACAAATTTATAATTTCTATTAATTTTGTGACTGACTGATGAGAGTGATTTAATGGCCAATCTATTCCTAGCATGAATGTTGTTGAAGTTACATTGCAATGCCTAGTTTGCTTTATTGTGATGACTGTTAAGGATAATTGTGATGACTAATAAGATATACTTCTGCAGACCCGCAAAGATGCAACTCAGGTTGTTGCAAATCTGCAGAGGCAACAGGTTCAATCACGATTGATCGCTTGTGATTACTTGGAAAAAAACATTGATCTAATGGATACCTTGATAGCAGGGTAAGAAGGCATGGCAAGATGTCTTTCTTGGTTGTGAATTGTTGAATTAATTTTCTATATATTCCATAACTTTAGGAACTTGGAGAATAGGAAAATCCACTCAATCCCAATCATAAGGACATAGCTTTCTTGCGTGTTGAAGAAGTAAAATAATTGAAAAGTTACTTAAATATATGAACTTCTGTTTTAATTATTAGCAGAGGAAATATTCCGTATGCATTTTCTTTTCTTCATTTGAAACTGGGTATAGAGTCTGGAATACTTCTTTGTAGTCCACCTCTCTCTCTCTCTCTCTCTCACACACACACACACACATCACACTATTGCTCTTCCCTCCACCTTCCTTTCTGTGAGCAGTTTACTTTGTAGAGTTTTGATAGTTTGGTCAAAACAAGAAGAAGCCGAGTCTCATTCCCAATCAACTTTGAGTTGACTACATCCATCATGTTTTTGCAATTCTATTTGATATAGGCTCTAAATCTATTGAAAGTTTCAAGAAAGACAAATCCTTTGCAACCACAAGAAAATATGTTAATTTGTCCACCTCTCCCCTCTATTGGGATTACGCTGCTACTGTGAATGTGAGAGGTGCACTAGCACCAGTTAATAAAAATTCTCCCCTAACGATTTGAAAACTATTAGCTCTACATTATTTTGAACTGAGGAGAATAAATGTACATCTTTACTTTCTTCCTCCAGTCCTCTTAGCCTTTGTTTTTGTATATGCCTTTTTCACGGTGAGATGGATCTTTGCTTTTTGCCAAATGTTATCAAGTAACCTAGTACAAACTTCCCTCAAAACTATAAATCTGAGGCTATCATACACTAGTGATTCTAAGTGGGTACTTGTATATGTCTATACTGTATCTGAGGGTCTTGAGCTTTATACTTCCATTCTTTCTTTCACTTTTGCTGTTAAATTGAGAAATTTTGGTGTATAATATGTTAATTTATAAAATCTTGACGAAAAAAGACCGACTCAGAAATTTTTGTTCCTTCAAATAATGTGAGTTTTTTAAATCCATAATATAAATAAATGCATAAAAGTATATGGATTTAAGGAACCATTTTTATGTGACTGTCAAAAAAAGTAACTAGATTATGGCTGAAGAGAGAGAGATTAGAAGTGTTATTTTGTTTCTTTCCTTGCTGGTATCGCCCTTGGTGAGAGCTCCCTTTAAGAAGTTACCTTTCTGTCTCTGTTGAGCATGGCCAAATAGGCTGCAGTTAATTTTCATTTTTGCCTCCCCATTTTCTGATACTGCTTAAAAGCCTATTCTCTTCAACTGGTGATTGAATTTTACTTTGCTACTGTAGGTATGACAATACAGATTTGGCATTACATTATGGTGCAATGTTGAGGGAGTGCATTCGCCACCAAAGTGTTGCTAGGTGAGTGGATGATTTGTTTATGTGCTAATTCAGATATTTGTTTATAGTGAGTAACAAAAAGTTAATTACCGGTGTTCTGAGAATACTACCATGCTATGCCTTATTTTCTGAAACTTTATATAAATTATGGTAGTAACCCATTCTTTTAGTGCTTTAGATCTTACCAACATGAAGAATTTTATGAATTATCTCTGTTGAGATCATCAGGGGTGGTTGCTGGTGACAAATAAAATGTTGTTTCCTCCCCTTCTCTTAGTCAGCAGTAATTGCTGACTGTTGGACTATTATGGTCTTATTCTTGTTAATAAACCTATTTTAACTCTTTTTTCCTTTCCTTTTCCTCACATTCTATGTCTATTAAACTTGAAACTGGGTTATTATGAAAAATGAACGAGATATGAAATGCAAACTGTGTTCTATATTTGTTTGTCTCATGTCTTCGAGCTTCATGAAATTAATTTTGGCACTTTACATTTCGTGAAGAAAATGGATAAACGAGTCTTTGTCTGTGACACAAGCATTCCGGGAACGTTGATTGATAGACGCACTTACAAAGTTTTTTGAAGTGAATATCTCAATTTTTCTTCATCTGATTAGGTTGAGGCAATTATACAATATTTTCTAGGCATTTATTTTCGTAACATGTTGATTTTTATTTATTTATTTATTTTTTCAGTTAGTGCAAAAGTAGAATTTGATGCTGAATCTATTTTTAATTTTAAAATGTGATTTGCTTTAACAGGTATGTTTTGGAATCAGAGCACATGAAGAAATTTTTTGATTTCATACAACTTCCAAATTTTGATATAGCTTCTGATGCTGCTGCCACTTTCAAGGTGAAGTCCTTATTGAATTAGTGAATTTCTTCATCTATGAACTCTTTCTTGAATTTTTATTTTTTATTTTGGTTTTCATTCAAAAATAAAATAAAAATAAAAATTATTGGTTTAGATCCCCATGACCCACTGTTCAGATGTAGAAGAGGAGGAAAAAAGGGGTGGGAGTGCAGGAGAGGTTTTTATTAGTTTTGTTGTCTGTGAGATTCTTGTTATTAGTCTCATTTTCAACTTAAGAGTCTCTTCTGGTGACTGCACTTTTATTAGGGAGCTTGATTAATGGCATATATCCACTGGATACAGCACAGGCTTTCCTATTTTCTTTAATCACATCTAGTTACATGCTTTAGTTTTGTGAAATATCTTGTAAAAGTGACCATTTAGGAAGTTCACGAATCTACCACAACTTGTCCATGTATGTCGGGATATCATCCTAAGTCCTTAGGGAATATTAGCCCTTGTTCGATTTTGATTTGTTCAAAATGACTTTTTCTCAAACGCATTTCCAACCACATCTCCAAAAAAATCACTTTTCACAAAATCACTTATCTAAAAATCAAAATCAAACAAGGGCTTAAATTTCTGGTACATGTGTACACTGCATTATTTGAATGGGTGTATTGTTCACACTAAGTTCTGTTATTGCTGTCGCTCAGGTATCTGTCATCTTAATCCATAAGAAGCCACTGTATTGTGAAATTATGAACTTATAATTCTGCCTTTACTTTTCATAGCTGAGCAAATATGGGGTGTTTACTTGCATATATTGATTTTTCTGCTATTTCATTTGCATTATAATGTTTGTCCGGCATTGAGCTAGGAATACCATAATTCAACTCACATTTTCTTCTGCCTCCTTTCAGGAACTGTTGACCAGGCATAAGTCAACGGTAGCTGAATTTCTTTCTAAAAATTACGACTGGGTAGGTGGCTTGTATTTAAGTGAACTGCATCATTGTTGATAAGCATCTTTGCCAATTCACTGCCGTACACTTGTTAAGAGACTATATTCTTCATTCCAATCTTTTATGCCCGTCACTTGTTCACTATTAAATTCCTAGAGCATCTCCAAGAGATTCTTTAAATGTAAGATGTTCTCTATTTTAAAGTGCAATTCTTGAAATTATGTACCAATAGGAAGTAACTCTCTATTTGTACTTTATGATGATTGCATTAAGGCCCTCTTTGAGTTACATCCTTTAAAAACTCATTTTTCCCTAATTCATTTTCAAACACACGTTCTTCTAATAAAATAATTTTACATGTAAACCCAATTTTTTTCCGTATTTTTAACTCTACATTCTCCATAAAAATTGTCATTACAAAATCTATTCTTCCAAAAAATGGGGCTCAAACAAACCCTAAATAAGTTGCAAATTTCAATGTTCCATTTCTTAGATTATTCAAAACATTTTTGTATTTATTGGCCATAAAAATTTCTCTCTAAATTTAAAGAAACTTTTTAGAGATAAATAGTCTCTTGGAGATGCTCTTGTTTCTAAGCTCTCTTTTCATTTAAAGATGGTTACAAATAATTCTGCTTTTCTTGTGACCACGTTGTGGTGAAATAGTGATGCAGAACTCTATTTATGTACTTAAATTGTAAATTTTTAATTTAGCACTGGATATTAATAGTTTGTTACTTGTGTTCCCGATTTAGCTCTACTTCTAACCTTTTCCTATTCTTCTGTTGATAGTTCTTTGCGGAGTATAACTCAAAGCTTCTCGAATCCACAAACTATATTACTAGAAGGCAGGCTGTCAAGGCAAGACATTTTTTGCTTTACGTTTGCCCATAATACAACTCCCCACCACCCAAACACCACCAACCCATTGAGCAGTGATAAATAATAAAAGAGAGAATAATGTGGGAGGTAAAGAGAGAAAAAAGGGGTTCAACTCCAATAGGTGGATCAGTAATGTAGGATTTATACTTTTAATGGACGCCTTATCTTTTGACTCAACTTGTGTTATTCCTTTTTGCAGCTGTTGGGAGATATTTTGCTGGACCGTTCAAATTCGGCTGTGATGACTCGATATGTTAGCTCACGGGATAACTTGAGGATCCTTATGAATCTTCTAAGAGTATGATTCCCTTCTTCGTTCCAGATTAAAACGCCCTGCTTTCCTCCTTCCCTCTCTACCGCCATGTGTGGGAGGAACTGGGAAAAAAAGATAGTAGTAGTAAAGCCCAGAACTTGAGATTCATTCTCGACCAGAAAAAGTCCTATGTCATTTCTTTCAGTATTTATACTGGTCACACTTGAAAGACCGTAAAAGATGTGAAAACTGATTTTATCTGGAATTTTACTAACGTCTTATTTGTTAAATGGTTTATTCTGTCAGGAGTCGAGCAAGAGTATTCAGATTGAAGCCTTTCATGTTTTTAAGGTATGACCAATACTTCACAAAACTTGCATAGGTGATTAGTGTTGGCTACTATACATTTTGTTCTAACCCCACACGAAAATTGCAGTTATTTGCAGCTAATCAGAACAAGCCCCCGGATATTGTTAGCATCCTTGTCACAAATAGAAGCAAACTTCTACGCCTCTTTGCTGATTTTAAAACCGAGAAAGGTACGAGAGTGAAGAATGCATACTGCTAGTCTTCTATCCGCATATTTAACAATTTTCTAAATCTTGATTTCTCTTGATACAGAGGATGAACAGTTTGAGGCCGATAAAGCCCTGGTCGTCAAAGAAATTGCTGCGCTCGAACCAAAATAATACCCATCGGTTTGTTTTAAATCATTTGTCAAGTGTGATGGCAATGTTGTATGGGTGATTCCAGTTGATGGTTTCTTTTTCCAACATATATATTTGTGAATTAATAGTTATTAGCCCCAATGTTGATGCAAAAAATGGAGTAAAAATGTTCTAGTTCTGTTTTCATTTATAAATTTATCAATTCATTTTCTGTACAATTTGTAACTGAGCTCACTTGAAATAATTTCTGGAGAAGAGAAACAGAACGAATATGATAAATGAGTGTAAATTGATAAGGGAAGTGCTGTGTACATAGGTGTACACATAGGGTTTGACATAATGTGAGTGGGGTGGGACCCTCGCTACCGTATCGTGGGTCCCACCACACTCACATTATGTCAACTTCTATGTGTACACATAGATTAATTCAATTGATAATGCCAGCCTGCCTAACGGCATGTGTTGGATACTTGGATTTGATGCGGTGCAAAGGACTTATTGTCAAGAGGCGGATGTTTGGCCTCAAGCATAATGCAGAAAAATGCGCATATCCTCCATAAATCAGATGTTAGGGATAAAGTGACCTACTTTTTCTCTTATCGCAACGTCTTGTGCGTGCCTATGCATGCTTGATTCTTGCCTGGTTTGTGGAGGATTAAAAAATCTAATTCTCCATATTTGGTTCAATTAAAAAATTCAGATTTTACTGATAAAAAAAGAAAATCAGTTTTTTAATAGATTTTGATAAAAATTAATGAAATATTTGATTTCAAATTTGCAAAAAATTGTGGATCGAAAAGTCTAATTAAAAATGTTTTTTTTAAAAAAAAAAAGAGTTTTATGAAAATGATAGAATAAGAGTAATATTATTTAGTATCACTAATCTTTTAATATCAATTTAAATGATACTAAATATAATTAAAAAATAATTAAATAATTTTATGTTACAATATCAATCTAAATGATACTAATATTGTTAAATAAAAAGTACAATTAAATGAATTACATAATTTTAGATATAATCCTTGTTTGAATCCTATTTTTTTTTTAAATGTATTATTGAACAGTGTTTTAACCTCGTTTCAGCCTCACATTTTTCAATAAAATAATATTACACGAAAATAAAAAAAAAAATCTTATTTTCTATTCACACATTTTTCATCAATACACTATTAAAAAATACATTTTTTTTTAACAAAATTGGGGCTCAAACAAGCCAGTAGTATTCTTAGAATAAACCAGCCTCTTGGCCTGGTATATTCTGTGACTGTGAGCCTCCGTCTTTGAAATGAAAAGTGTAGTCATCCAGCCCCCCGGGGCACATCCAAGTTGGCAAAGGATGTGCACTGCTGGGCTTGCAACCTCAGGAAATAAGAGTAATATTATTTAGTACCACTAATCTTTTAATATCAATTTAAATGATACTAAATATAATTAAATAATAATTAAATAATTTTATGTTACAATATCAATGTAAATGATACTAATATCGTTAAATAAAAAGTACAATTAAATGAATTACATAATTTTAGACATAATCCTTGTTTGAATCCTATTTTTTTTTTTTTAAATGTATTATTGAACAGTGTTTTAACCTCGTTTCAGCCACACATTTTTCAATAAAATAATATTACACGAAAATAAAAAAAAAAATCTTATTTTCTATTCACACATTTTTCATCAATACACTATTAAAAAATATATATATTTTTTTAACAAAATTGGGGCTCAAACAAGCCAGTAGTATTCTTAGAATAAACCAGCCTCTTGGCCTGGTATATTCTGTGACTGTGAGCCTCCGTCTTTGAAATGAAAAGTGTAGTCATCCAGCCCCTCGGGGCACATCCAAGTTGGCAAAGGATGTGCACTGCTGGGCTTGCAATCTCAGGGTGGAGAATTCGATTTCTGGATTGAGCAGCTGAGTGTTGTAATACTCAATTTGGGTGGAGCAGCTTGGTGATGTAATATCCATGGAGGAAGGCTCCCTTGGGGCCAGGAGTATAAAGGGTGCACAAACCCTGGTCAATTTGGGCATATCCCGCGATTAACCTCCACCCATCACTGAGGGGCCGNTGAGGGGTCGGGGATGGGTGGTCCAGGACATAATCTAGTGTAAGTTAGGATACCTGGATATAAAAAAAAAAAAAAAAATGTAGTCATCCAATTTCTTGGAAATCTTTATCAATTCTTAATTGTAGTGCCAATTGACACCGTGAATGAATGCAACTGTTCATGTGTAAATCCGAGCAAATCCATGGACATTTCAAGTCTACAAATCACCTATAAATAATTGGCCTCATTCTTTTGTTTTCATCAACCATTACAATTTAAGATATAATCGTCTTCTCTCATCACCCGATCTTCAAGAAAAACAAATGGCACAAAAAGGTAGGAATCCGTTAATCTCACTTCAATATATATTCACAAATGAGTGTATGTATACGTATTTATTAATGTGCTCGATTGGATTTGTGGAGGTTCAGATTCAGTGGAGGAGTTCTTGGTCCAGGCTGTGAGTGCAGCTAAAAGTGCTGGAGAGGTGACATCAGTTCGCAAATCCAAATCCCTTGTTTACTACTATTAGAGTCGTGTTTCTTTCGGCATTGATTTATCAGTTGTTGGCCGCATTCTTTATACTTTGAATTTTTACAATTAATCTTTTTACTTCAAAATTTCTGGTTTACAGATCATTCGTTCAGGGTTCTATCAGGCAAAGCACGTGGAGCACAAAGGCGTGGTAAAATCTTGACTGATTATAATGAAAAATACTACTATTTCATTATGAATTATGCATAAAGGGATGCTTTTAAAAATTTAATTTACATCGCGTGTGAGGAGCGGATCATCTTAGTTACTGATAACAGTAATTTTTTTCAATTGCTGAATTGGGGACTCTGTAATTGAACTTATATGGAAAATCATAAAATTCTGCAGGTGGTTAAGGGGAGTATAAATGAATAACCAGATAATGGGATTTTGTCAATCACCCTATAAATCCTAGTAAATGTACATGAATAAATTCCATATTATAAGCATTAAGCCATGATTTGAGGTGGCTAATGATGGTGCACTATGTAGATGCTTGATTAACTGAAGTTCTATACCCAATCTTCCCCTCCCTAAACCAAATTGGACGGTAGTTGATGTGTCATGAGAAGGAGCTACCCAAGATCAGGAGACAGCTTTTAGTCTTTCCCCTGGGTTCTGAGAAGAGCTAGTTTATGGGCCGAGCGAGTAAGTGAATTGGTAAACTTTCTTATCGGTAGAATTCTGATGCAGGACAACAGTTTTAGAAATCTTGAAGGAAGTGTAGAGGATTAGTGGAATATCATGCTTAGTTACACAGTGCCCCATAGGAGGGCTGTCTACCACAAGATTGTGGTGGGTGGTAATAGATGATGGTGGAGATAGAACCGAAGCAGCCATGTGGCTAAAACTAACCAAAAGGGTAGGTATCGGAAAATATCTGAATAGAGGGGTTTTTATATTTTGTGAAAAACTATAGCGCCCAAAATTCGCAAAAAATCGTCAGCATTTTTGCAAACAAATCCGGTAGATTGGAATATTAATTCTGTATTTACTGAAGATGGTTCATTGGTTGATTCATGTCACAAAAAGGGCCATGCTCCTCCAATGATGGTTCATTGGTTGGTTCATGGGACGAGAAGGGCTATTTCAGTTATTAAAAAAATATTGCCTTAAAAATATAAGTTCTTTTCTTTTCGCTGCTACTAATGATATTATTGATTTATAAATGCTAATAAGCCTACTGCTTCCACTTGTAGGTGGATTTGGTCACAGAGACTGATAAGAAATGTGAAGAAGTCATATTCAATTTTCTCAAACAACACTACCCTGATCATAAGGTTAGATCTTGTCTCTTCTGCATCGTTCCTATTTTAGCTGAATTTATTGGTTGTTTCTATATGGGTTTAAATGTCATGCACATTCTCAAGTCTTAACTACTTGATTTTCACAACCCTTTTTAATAATTTTTCCATCTTAGTTCATTGGGGAAGAAACCACGGCTGCTTGTGGTGCTTCAGATTTGACTGATGAACCAACTTGGATTGTTGATCCCTTGGATGGAACAACTAATTTTGTGCACGGGCAAGTGTCTTGTGTTCATTTCATTTGTTATGGGAGAGTTTTTCTTCATCCATGTTAAGCTTCAAAGTTATTTCATTCAATTTCAGGTTTCCATTCGTATGTGTCTCTATTGGCCTGACAATTGGACAAATTCCAACTGTTGGTGTTGTCTATAACCCTGTTATGGATGAGGTAAAATTATTGAACTTCTAATAATTTGAGAGTTTACGCAAATTGCATATGGAAGTATAAAAATGAAGGAAATTGAAGTACTTCGAAATCTCAGAGTACTTCTTCGAAATGGTTGAGATAATAGGTTATCTGCATCATGTAACTTATAACTTGTGGTCAAAGTTACTGTATAATGCTCAATGATTTCCGTTTCATGCCATCTTTTGAGAGTTGTAGCATCTTTTTGCAATGAAACGAGCCGTTTGGTGTAAATTGGAACTGACCAGTTAAGTGACTAGTGAGTTTTGTGTTCCTTTTTCGTATTTTTCTCCCTTGCTGCATTATTGTACTGATATGTTGAAGATAGGAATTCTTTTGTATACTATGTCTGCGGTATTTTTTTCTTCGTGGAATTTGCTAGTCGGCATATATAATATTTGTTTTAAATATTCAGCTCTTTACTGCCGTCCGTGGAAAAGGCGCTTTTCTGAATGGAAAACCTATCAAGGGCAAGTTTCCACTTCATGTAGTCTCGCTTATGCTATTGAACATTCATCTTACACTTCAGTTGACATCCTATGTTCTGTAATCTGCAGTATCTTCTCAATCTGAGCTCGTGAAGTCCCTTCTCGCAACAGAGGTACTCAGCTGAACATACTATTGAACAGTGCTTTGGTTACAAAACAGACATTTGTTGTTTTTCTATTTCTGTAATTTAGAATGTCAACCTGCAAATTGGAAAGGATAAGTTACCCAAGTCCTGGCCTCTTTACTCTAAATTTGCTGGGCCTGTTTATACGATCCTGTAGTAGAAGAAGTGTTAGCAGTGGAAGGGTGAAAAATTCACAGTTTACCTTGATATTCATTTTTCCTGTCCCTCTCTTAATATTTTATATAGTCTAAAATAGGAAACATTATTCTTGCTTCTGTAATATATTCTAAACAGTACAACTTTTGCAATTATGCATACAATAGTATGACTTATAAATTTGAAGAAATTTACCTTTCTAATTTTAGTTATAGAAGCTGATCAATCAAGCTTCGCCTGATGAAATGACAGGTAGGAACAAAGCGTGACAAGTCTACTGTGGATGACACTACAAATAGAATCAATAGCTTGCTCTTCAAGGTAAACAAGTGGTTGCTTCATAATCATATTCTCAATTAACGTTTTAGGAATATAGCTCAGAACATCGGTTTTAATACAACCAGGTTAGGTCACTTCGGATGAGTGGTTCTTGTGCATTGAATCTCTGTGGGATTGCATGCGGAAGGCTTGACCTATTCTATGAAGTTGGGTTCGGAGGACCTTGGTAAGATTTTAAAATGCTCAATTTTGGATCTTGAAATAAATTACCAGGAGCTTGTTTAGTATTGCCCATTGTGCTAAACAGTACTATTTAATACAGTATACCAAACATGCATTAATTTCTTTTCTCTGTCCAGGGATATAGCAGCTGGTGCTGTTATAGTAACTGAAGCTGGAGGAGTTCTGTTTGATCCGTAAGTAGCACCTTTTTCCCTTAAGGAAAGAATACTGAAGAAAAGTTTGTTAATGGGAACTTTGTAGTATTTGGATACACAGGTTTTAGTCATTAGAATAGCATTCGATTATTAAGATTGTCAGTAGTATTTGGATACACAGCTTTTAGTCATTTAAATATTAGCATTCGATTATTACGATTTTTTTTTTCACATTCATGAATTCTAGGATTCTTTGTTTTCTATTTACAGTGTACAAGGCCCTTAAGTATTGATAATTTCAAGTAGTTTACTCTTAGGAATTCTTTCCATCAAATATAAATTTCTAATAACTCGTATCTTGCTCAGACTAGTAAATAGAGCTGGAGTTATGATTAAGTTCAAATTTCATTTTGATTAGTTTTAGTTTAGATTTACATTTAAGATTAATTCTCCATTGGCTCTCTTGCCATACATCATGGTGAAACTGTTGTTTCTTATAATGAATTGAACAAGTCCATTGTTGTACCCAGTCGAACTTTTTAGTTCATTAACTAATTAACTTGAGCAAATCATTATTGACTAAACATCCTTAATAATCCTATGTAAACATTCACTTGCTATTGGACTTTGAATTGCACTTGCAACCACAGCGACTATATGTATGACATTGAAAATCATAGTCAGAGTTGGCATGTCTGAACCATGACACTTTCTGTAATCAGATCCGGCAAGGAATTTGATATCACATCTCAGCGAATAGCAGCGTCAAATCCTCTTCTCAAGGAAGTATTTATCAAGGCATTGCAACAGTCAGAATGAGAGAGATGCACAAGAATTTCTACAAGTTAAGTTTCTATTTGCTTTCTGCAAGCATCATGATCCAACTGTACTGGCTTCCCCTGAGGGATTTCTAGAGAATCTTTAGTCGAAATACATGTGATGTATTTACAACTTCTTCTTGAACTAAGAACTCGAGCTGTGCTCTACACTGTAAAATTTGAATTGGTAATGCATAAAACGCCAAGTTGGATCATTTCTTAGCCTAATTCTATGGTTGATTTTGTTGGGGGCGAAATCCATTCTCTTCTCTCGCTCTACTCTGTTTTCCCCTTCTCCAGGGACCTGCAATTAAGACTGTGCAATGATCTTCTCTCATATCCATTTTTCTTTGCGTGCATTGAATTAAGAAATGGTATATAGTTTGATTTTTTTTCCTGGATACTAGGTAGTTTGATTTGACATGTAAAATTTGAGGTACTGCTTGAATTAGTCATTTATGGATCCATTCATGAAAATGGAAATATACATATACTCTGTCCAGGAGAATGAAGGGTGTGCCAAACTAAGGCAACATATGCACCAGTAATAAAAAGAAATTAGCTCATGATAGGTCATAAAAAATGGGTACAAGGGACTCGAAAACTAATAAAATATACCGGTTGTCACTTGGCTGAATAAATCTCTCTCTCGAATATCAAAAAAATTGTTTCAATCACTTGCCGTACATAAAACATAGGTGAATTCTTTGCGAATTGTTAAAAGAAAATTGAAATAAAAATTTAAAAGATGCTGGAAAAATACTAAATGCACTCTGATGTATTAAAGAAACAACAGATATATATAAATCTTCAACAGAAAATCTACATCAATAATGAAAAAAGTGGGAAACACTTGTATCATCTCTAAACTCTCCCCAGTACAAGCAACCTAACCTTTAATGGAAAAGTATACATAGATACAGCAACACAAAAATATGAAAGATATATGAGCAAATTGAACAACCCTACTTTTCATACCCTAGCTCCATGTCCATTTGTTCCATTAACCCTATTAGGCATCTTCTGAGAAGCAGCAATTTTCTTCCTCTTCACAACTACACACCACTTATAAGCTTCCAATGCTGCAGCAAAAAATGCCAGAACCACCAGGATCCCAATATAGGCTCTCTCCCATTTGTTCTCAGGATTTAATATGTCGAACCCCTTGAAAATGTTGATAATACTTAAGGCGATGACTGCGTATCCTACTGAGTGGTGGTAGATGTTCCAGTAAAATCTGTATTTGTGGTCCTTTTTCGGCCTTAGAAGCAAAGCAAATACCTGTATCCAACAGAAACCTTGGTATGCTTCATTTCCATCTCTTGTTAGACATTAAAAAAAAACTGAAAATGATTTAGATGTCCAAGTATTTGAAGAAATTCATAATTACCTGGAGGGTTCCTAGACAGAAGAGAACTATTCCTATGGTCCTGTGGGACGTGTATTGAACTCCGGGAGACTGATTTCCTAGCTGGAGACCGGTAGCCCAGCCGGCAACTCCAATGATGTAGGCCGAGGTTTGGCAAGTTGCGTGAAGATAAAACCAAGCAGGATCAGCAGATGGAAAGACCCTTAAGTACCTTGCGAATAAAACACCAATAGGCATCAAGATACCCCAACTCACTGCATTCAGTACTCCATGAATCTGCATTAACCAATAGTCAGAATGTGTAGACTTTTTAATTATAAAGATAAAGGCAAAAGTATCTTCTTTTGTGAATACCTAATTTTTAGAATTACTACATTAAAAAGCTGGATTCTTCATTCTGAGAAAAATTTAATAGATGGTCGTATAAGGATTTAAGAACTTACATTTCTTTTCTTTGTTTTGGAGTTTGATGGCCCTGCTGTTGTTCTTGACTCTCCTGAAAGAAGATTTAGGGTCCCCGCGGATTGGACGTTAGAACCAGATGTAGGATGCATTGCAGGGGCATCTCCTGAAAGTGGACCATCCTGCCAAACCTGGTTAACAGTAGAGCTTAAGTTTTCCAGCTTCATCGTGGCAAAAATAATGATTTCATTCCTTGAGTATACTGCTGATAAATCCGAAACTGGGAAGCTCAAATCTCCTTCCTGCAACTGAGTCTGATAAGTAGTAATTGGCGCTGTATAAGCTCTCATGGTTCCATCAGATTTCTGGAAAGCGACAAGTGCTTGTGCGCCAACCATGCCTCGAGATCTTGGATTAATAGCCCACGCGACCCATTTAGAAGCCGTGACACTGGTGTGTCGATAGGCCATTCTAACTGTTTTCGAAGAGGAGTCGTAATTCCAGTGAAGAAATGAATCCAAATATGGGAGATCATTGCAGGAACTGAAAACTTGGTTACTGGCAAAGTTGTATTTTGCACATGATTGAGCATATGATGATAAACACACAGACAAGAGAACACAAGAAATCAATACAGCTCTTAACATTTTCTTCTCTTCCACCCCCTATAGATCTGCAGGAAATTTGTAGTTAACAGAGGAATAATAGAAATTGATCAGCTTTAATTGTGAATTTATAAATGAGGAATTTGAAGAGGAAGGGAAAATGATTTGATATGAAAAAGAAAAGAAGCTTATGGGAGCTTTAAAGATGGACAGAAGGGTCTCTTATTGTAGACTTAATTATGGGACATGAGTAGTTGCAGTTTGGTGAGGAAGGTTCTGTATTAAGAGAAAAAGTACCAGGTTTAAATGGGATTTTGGCCCCACTTTCCCTTTTGAGCTCGTCCGTTCGTTGGTGATCCATTGCTCTCGCGTTCGAGTGTTTTTGCTCATTGTTTAGGTTAGTGAGCGAGATTTCCGCACTTGTCAAATTGCTATTATCTCCGTGCTTAGGTTTCAACAACTTAGGATTTGTTCTCTTTACTGTTTTCAGGTTATTTTCAGTTTTCAAAAACAATAAAAACACGTTTACTTACCTATTTTCAGAAATGAATTTCCAAAAACGAGTTTAAAATTTAAAAAGAAAATGAAAACGCCAAAAAGGTCCGTTTTGGCTGTTTTTAGTCAAAATCAAGTCAAAACTTCATTTTTTTATTTTTGAAAACAATTTTTCAAAATTACAAAAAGAACGTGTTTTTAGCAATCTTAAAATGGACACTTAAAACACAAAATCCAAAATGAATTCAAAACTCAAAATTAAAAATCGAAACACGAAGAGAACAACCCTTTACATTTTTCGTACCAGAACATGTCTAACTTCGACTGCAATTATACCGATGCATAGATTTATATTTCTTGTCACCTAAACTTCAAATTTTCATGTTCTTTTGTAGAGATTCTTTCACTTTTCTTTGGATATCAATACGAGTATTATTTTCACTTTCGATTATTTTTTCATACCACGTACTAGACAATTTATTTTTCTCTTTTATCTTGTCAAGTACTATAACCATTGGCGCTAGATCGACATGATTATGGATCATGTGACATAATTAACTAGATATCTCGTATGGAAACACCCTACAATCATAGTACAAATTTGTATCATAGCACGTGGGTATTGGTTGAGACTTAACCAATCAGTTACTAATAAATTCTTGAATTATTGTCTTAGCTTGGAGTTTCAACCACTTCTACATTTTGATAAGAGGCTGTGGACAGGTATCAAATAAAATAATATGTTGGATTAGGTGCATTATCTAAATTGGTCGAACTAAATCCTAATCTTGCCAGCCTCACACCCTAAGGATCCAACCGTGCCAATTATCTGCACCACATCTTCACTGACACTTGTTTTTTTTTTTTAATGCAAAACCGACTTCAATAACATGTTTAGTACACAGTATAACTTACAATACGTTTGGCAGAAAAAAAAAAGTTAAAATTTTGTTCATTAAAATGTACTGTCTTAATTTAGTACTAATCGGGTGTGTGACGTTAGAGGAGATGAATAGTGAGCTCATTCTTATCTCAACATAATCTTGTAATTCCAATAAAATGACAACACATTGGTGTATTACAATGATGTTGATTTTGTGCTGAACTTAGATATTTATATGAAGAGACAACTGGGCATGATTTGTGATGTAATTTCAACCTTAATTTGATACAAATTGGCCTCCTGTAGTGTTATTATGTTGATTGTGTCATCTTTTATTCTTCACTGTTATCCGAATCTTTAATACATCATACTTGTTATCTTTCTTTCTTCCATTTTGATTTTTATGACAATAAAGCTGAATGTACAGCTTTGGCTCCACCTCATGTGAGGGGTTGTGAAAAAAACTGTGAACCAGCTCTAACTCTAGCATGGTTCTTTTTATAAAAAGAAAAATGATGAAGAGGAAAAATTTATAGGACATTTGGCAACTTTTCACGATGGTTTCGATCCCTTACCAACCTGCTAAGCGCCTTAGCCTTTAGCACTAGACGGAGTCAATCAACAATTTTGTAGAGATCATTTTTTGAGTAAATAGTTGTTTGAATCTAGTTAGTACTAGGGGTGTTAAATAGAATGAGTCGAATCGCACAGTTTACTTGCTGTCGGTTCGACCCAGGGGTGCAGGGAGGGGGTAGGGTGGCGCGTCCCCGCCCCCAAGCCTATTTAATCTTTGGTGTTAAAAAAAAAAATCTATTTTTTTTGTGAAAATTACACGGAGGCTTAAATTTCAATTTCAAAAATCAAATTTAAAGTTTGTTTATACAAAAATCAGATAATAATTTCACATAATAATATTATAAAATTATATTAATTTATATACACACCCTACTCCCATCCACCCCCATCAAAAACTAGAAATATACACACCAATAGAAGATAAATTAGCCTGCTTTACTGTATCTAATTAGTTGGCCCACTATAGCAACTCTTCTTCTTGTGATGAAACCTCTTGAAAGCATGACGTATGGTTTGTGTAAGCATTACGTCACATTTATACATAGAGAAAAGCCGGATGGCCATGGGAATTGGTGACAGGGTGGTGACCGACCCCTCACTGTGCGGTGGGACCCACGTGAATAAAATATTTCCAGAACATGTGGGCCCTCCCCCTATGTGAGGGGTCGGTC